CAGCGGGAGTGATGGATCCCTAGTGCTTTCATTTTTGACAAGGAGAATATATTCAGGGCTTCCTTGTGTCATTAAAAATTAATTTTTCGAAAATTGCTCTAGCTGGGAAATTCAGTCCTGGAATAGGGAAGAGACCCGGCTGGCCCCGGGCACTAGGGTCTAATCCCAGCCCTTTCCCTGTCCTCTGTCTGCTCTCGGACCACCAGCAAGCCCCCTCCACCCCTCAGTGGGCCTCTATTTTTCCCCTGCCTCTTGTACCCATATCCCCACCCTGCCACCCCACTATCACCTCCATCCTCCACGCTTTGCTCCCAACCCTTTGTGCTCAGGCAGCTCTCTGTCAGGGACGCTGTTCGCCTCTTCTCTGCCTGGAAAACTCTTACTCATCCCTGGACACCAATGTCCCGTCCTCCAGGAAGCCCTCACCACCTCCCACCCCCATTTAAAGGGCCCTCCACTGTAATTCCCCAGAATTGTCCCTCCGGGGCAGCATGCGGACACCACACTCACCTGTCTACAGGACAGGGTGCCTAGTCCGCATTTACCACCCTCCTCACCCACCCCTCTCTCCCTTGCTCTCAGCTGCACTCCTTCACCCTCTGAATCCGGTTGGCTCAGCGAATGTCAGGCACCAGCGAAGGATGAAACAGGGGAGAGTGAGATGGGGGTTGAGTCCTGGCTTCCGCCCTGCTGGGCCCCCCCTTAGGCAGCACCTCACTTCCTCTTCCGAAGGAAGCTTCTGTGGGCAGCCTCTCTCCGCGACCACAGCTCTGGCAGGGCTCCAGTAACCGGCTGTCTTTTGTCCCCAGAGGGTAGTGAGAGCTTCCTTGCTGCCACACTGCCTCCCGTCAGCACCTTGACCTTCCCTGCCTTGGAAATGCTGCGTTAGCCAAGCCCTCCTCAGCTCTTCCTGAGGGGTTCCTGACAGGGCCCTGATGTGATACACACATCTGTCCCTGCCACCCAAATATGAGGTCCTTGAGTACCAGAGCTGTGTGTTTTTAGGTCGTTTGGTTTTGTTTTTAATCTCAGAACCCCGGAGCTCAGCGCTGATAGGACCTGGAGCACGGATGAGCAGGGCTGAGTGAAAGCTCACTGAGTACAGGGGTGAATGAACAAAGAATAGATAGACGGCAGGACAGATGGCAGGTGGACAGATGGATGAACACGGGGACGGTTAGATGATGGGTAGACGTACAGACTCTGATTTGCAAAGACTGCTAACAGCTGCAGTTGCGGGCGCGCTGTCTGCCTGTCAGGCACGGCAGCGAGCCCTTCATCGGTACAGTCACCTGACGTCCATGCCCAGCCCGTGAGGCAGCTACACCATTAGGAGTAAAGAGGACCTCAGGAGGGCTAACGCACTCGCTCAAGGCCACAGTTCGGAGGCTACCGGCCTCTAGAGCCTGCCATCCTGATAACATGGGGGTGGCACTGGATGAATCCAGGACCCCAAGATCCACACTGCCATGGGGGATGCTCTCCTGGGCCTCTCCTGTCCCATGCCCCGTTCCCCCAAGGTCCCTTGCTCTTTTCACAGTGGGCCTAGCTTCTGCACACTTCCCTCCGAGGCCACCCCCCCATCCACCCCGAGTGTCTCGGAGGATGTCTGCTTTACATGTGTGGGGCCCAAGGAGGCACCAGGCTCCTCCTGCTCCAAATCCAGAAACCCTTGTTCATCTCCTGAGTTGGCAGGAGCTCTGCAGGTCTGAGGGTTTCTGCTCAAAAGGAAAAGCTGCTCCCTGGGAGAATAGCTGGGCTTGTGAAGAACAGCCTCGGGGCCCTGCACTCCGTGGGTTTCCCCCACACGGGAAAGAGCATCGGCTTTAGAGACGCGAGGTATGGCCCACAATCCCAGCTCTGGGATGTTCCGGGTCGTGTCCCCTCCGAGCCTCAGTGGAGGGACTGCTAGTGCTTCCGCGTTCTGGTGAGGGGCACCTGCCACGTCACCTAGCAAAGCTGCAGGTAGTCACCCGTCCTCACAGCACGCCCTCCACCTGCCTGCTCCACCTTCTCACATTCTCCCCAGCACTGGCTTTGGCCATCTCTGTGCTGTCAACTGCTTTTCTCCTCCTCTGGCAAATTAGGAAATCGGAGCACAGAGCGCTTAAGAGGCCTTCCGGAGGTCACACAGCAGGACAGAAGCAGGGCTGGGCTCAGACCCTGGGAAATCTCTGCATCTTCCCAGCCCTGTGGCCCCCGTCCTCAGTCCCCATCCCCAGTCCCCGTCCCCCACCACACTGCCCGGGGCTCCAGCTTTGCTGTGGAAGCTGTAGGCGTTATTTAGTTCCTTCAATTATTTATGCACAGCACGTTTGGAACAGGGCCCTTGGTGATTAAAGCGCCTGGGGACAGAAAAGCCGAGCTGAAACATTCGTGAAAATACAGAAAGGAAAACAAAGCTACAGCATCAACAGGGACATCCACGGGGGGAGTGCAGGAGTGCCGTTGAGGACACGAACTCATCCCGGTGCCCCGGTGGCGGTGGTGACTGCTTCCTAGTGGCCCCCCCTTCCGTATTCCAGGTACCCCAGGACCAGCCCACCCATTCGCCGTCATTATCAACAAGAGAAGCATCATCCCTAGAGTTTGGGGGTCAGGCACCCCTGGCTTACATCCCCGCCCTTCGAGTTCTGGCTGTGTGACCTTGGACAGGTAACTAGCCTCTCTGGGCTGCAGTGTGCTGGGCTCTGGTTCCCAGGAGAACTGGTGAGTATATGGAATGATGTATGTGAAGCCACAGAGGAACACCTGGCACCTTAGAGTCCTAATAAGCAATAGATTTCTGTTCTTCCATGACATTCTAAAAAGCCCTTCTATATACATTATACTGTAAGGTGAGCATCCAGACTCTGGAGCAGACTGTTGGCAACACAGCCTGGCTCCAACCGTGACTACCTGTGATTAGGGAGAAAGTTATAGAACATCTTAAAGCTGCATTTCCACGTCTTTCAGAGGGGCTAACCATAACCTCTTACCCTAGGTGTGTGTGAAGTTTAAACAGGGTACTACATGCAGGGACTTATCACAGTAACTGACACAGGACAAGTGCTCCCTAATGGTCATTATTAATATTTGCCATCTTTCCAACATGCCTCCTTGGTAGTCAGGATATGTGTCTTTGCCTGGTTTTACAGATGCTGGAAGTGAGTCTCGGAGAGGTAAAATGACTTGACCAAGGTCACTCGGCCAGACAATGGCAGAGCTGGGACCTCTGCACTGGGCCCCTGATTCTAAGTCAGGGCTCTGTCCAGTACAAGAGTCCTAAGGTTGTTCATTCAACAGGACCCTGTGGTCTTGCTAGCTCTGCGCAAACAGAAGGGACTGGAGGACATCTCGTGAAAAAGCTTCAGGCTGATCTGGGTTTCTAACCCTCTTCCTAGCTGTGTGACCTTGGCTGGAATTCAGCCTCTCTGGGCTTCAGTTCTCATACGTAACCTGGCAGCACAATCACTGTCTTCCTGCTCGGGGTCAACGTGAGCAGGAAATGAGGATGGGTGTGAAAGTGCCCAGCACCGAGCCCAAAACACGGCAAGTGCTCAGAAAATGCCACCGTCCCCTCCCCTGCCCTGTCAGTGCATCTGTCATTGCCTCCCCAAGGGATCCTGGCACCAGCTTCGTTCCCAGTCAGAGGAAGCTGAGTGACTGACGGCTCCTGACATTCTGGCTGATAGAGCTGCTTTGTCTCCATCAGCCTGCCCCAGCCTCCCAGGCACCTGACACCCAGAGCTAATAAGGCCACTAGGGGGTGGGACAGGCCCAGGCCACTCCCACCAGCTCCTGCCTTTGTTCTTTGCTCTCCCCATCCTTCTTCCAACCCTGACTCCTTCTCTCTCCTTCCCCTCATCACCCCTGATGCTTTCAAGGAAGCAGCCAAGGCCTCTGACCAGGATCCCAAAGTACCAACATCAAAAAAGTACAACGTGATTTAATTCTACAAACTCATGCATTCTTACTCTGATTCAGGGGTGCAGAGAATGCAAGGTTGAACAAGATGCGGACCTGCCCTGGGGGAATCTCCAGAGGAAAATGAGGCATCAACAGAAATGTACCAAATAATAGGATGTTTCATAGTAAATGAGAATCACAAAGGCTGCCATTTATTTGTTTGGCACTTTACATGTGCTTCTGTTGAAGGTCACAGCTCAGGTTCAGAGAGGTCATGAGTCTTGCCCAAGGTCACACAGTCAAAACAGGATATAGCTGAGATTCAAACCCAAGGTTGTCTGCTCTCAAAACTTGGGCTCCTTCTACTTCATCAAGTTTACCTCTGCTGGGAAAGTTTAAAACTTAAAAAAAAAAAAAAAAAGTTACTATGCAATGTGAAAAGTTAAATAAAAAACACAAATTCCAGAGTGAATTACTTTGCCTGGGGAAGGGGCAGGAAAAATTTCACAGAGAATCCTCCTGAGCTGGATAGGGAAGGATGGTGATTATGTATGTAGAGATCCATATCTATACTTCTACTTCTTTCTCGGTCTCTGCATACCTATGTCTGTAATCATCACCTGGTCTCCCCACTCCCAGACTCCTTGAACAGAACTGTCGCCCTACCCTGCACTATGTATGGTGATTATAATTGAATGCATACTGTTGGGGTTAACTGGTTAATCAAAAAAGTCAGGGACGCCTGGATGGCTCAGTCGGTTAAGCGTCTGCCTTCGGCTCAGGTCATGATCCCAGGGTTCTGGGATCGAGCCCCGCATCAGGCTCCCTGCTCAGCGGGAAGCCTGCTTCTCCCTCTCCCTCCACAGTTCCATCCCACCTGTGCTCTCTCTCTCAAATAAATAAATAAAATCTTTTTTTTAAAAAAGTCAGTTAAAGTAGGAAGTGATTTCAATAATGAAATATATACAGGCTGTCTTAATCCATCCGGGCTGCTATAGGAAAATACCACAGACTGGGTAGCTTATGAAGAACAGAAATTTATTTCTCACAGCCTGGAAGCTGCAAAGTCCAAGATCAGGGTGCCGACAAGGTCAGCAAGGTCACCTCCCGGTGAGGGCCCACTCCCTGATTCATAGCCAGCCCTTTCTCGCTGTGTCCTCACTCGGTGGAAGGGGGCAAAGGAGCTCTCTGGGATCTCTTTTATGAGAACACAAATCCCATTCATGAGGGTTCCACATCCATGACCTAACATTACCCCAAAGACCCCATCTTCTAACACCATCACCTTGGGCATGAGGATTTCAACATATGAATCTGGTGGGGACAGAGATATTCAGAACATAGCATTGTCTAAACATCGTACTCTAACATAAAGCACATTAATGTGCATGCATCTGAGCAATATTTAGACAGAAGCCTCCAAGGCCTTTAAGAATGGGTCTGTTGATGGAATTCTGCATTCTCTTTTTTCCATAAACCATAGCCCTAAGACGTCTAACATTTACACTTCAGGCTTCTTCAAAGTAGAGCAAGAAAACGCAGCCCGAGTGCAGAATCCTTCTGGATTTTTATGCTCATTTTCCTAATACTTTAGAGGTCTTTCATCCACACATAATTGGACAGAATTTTTTTTAACACTGACCTTTATGGTGTGTCTTCAAAGTATTCAACTCAGTTCGCATAGAAATAGAACTTTCTTTCCTGCATTTCACTTGTATTGAACTCATTATTATAATTACGTTATTTAGTTAAATATGATGAGAACTGATGAAACATGAGCATAAAAAAGAGCAGGTGGTTGTTCTGCTGAAAGCTCAGCTGAGTGCTTTGGAAATACCCCATACAAATGAGATCCTGCAAGGTAACAAACATAACTGATGACTGTTCCCCGCACCACAGGTGACAGGGCGTAAACACTGTGTCACCTCGACCGGGGAGTAACCTGCCGGCCTTTGTCTTCTGCCGGCTACTGGCCGCAGGGAACGAGGAAAGGAGTCATTTATCAAGACAGGCAGGTAAGTGGAGGCCACACAGAGACAATTTTATATTTCTGAGCGCCCTCCCACAGTGTCCGTGAGGGGTAGGGACCTGTCCATGTTCTAGCCCCTTCTCGTTCTCCCAAAAGGAAGGAAGGAACTAACTAGCAAGATCCTAGGACGCCGAACAGACTGTTTTTACTAGTGGGCAGGGTCGCTGTGCCAGAAAGGGACAGCTCATTGTCACAGCCCGTGGCTCTCTTCTCTCGCGTCCAGTGGCTCTCAGCTCATCTCGTGTCTCGTACCAGTGGCAGGAAGTTGTAAGAACATTCGCTGTGCGGGGATGGCAAGAGAGGAGGGTCCCGTAGACCACGTGGCTGTGCAAGGGGCAGGCGTCAGTGTGTGAAGATCCTGGACTCTAGGCTGAGGCATTCAGACTTTATCCTACAGGCAAGGAGGAGTGGTTGAGGTTGAATCTGTGCTCCGGAAAGCTCACTCGGGCAGTCCACAGAGAACGGATGCAGGGAGACCATGGAGGAGGCTGCTGCAGTCACCTGGGCACCAAGGTAGGGAGTGGGCAGGGACCCAGACCTCACAGTGGAGTAGACATGAGGAGTGAGGAAGAAGGGGTCTCTGATGATGCTTAGCTTTGTGTCCTGGCCCCACACTGTGAGCCAGGGAAGACGGGAGTGCGAGCAGTCTGGGGGCCAGGAAGCTGAAGTCCTTGGTGTTGGCCATTTGAGTTTGTGTCTCCAGAAGGAGAATTCCAGGAGCCCAGAGACATTCAGACCAACTGAAGGGATGGCATCTTGGAAATGGAGCTGCTCTCGCTGTTTGAATCAGGTGAAGAGCACCCTCTGCCCCAAGGATGTCTGATGGTTCTCGCTCAATTCAATAACTGGCAGCCGAGCAGGTCAGGTGGAAAAACCCAGGGCTTTGAGATCATCCCGATCTGGGCAGAAATTCCTAACTCTGCTGGGATGCATTCTGTGTGGCTCTGGATGTGTGATTTAATGTCTAAGAGCCTCTGTTTCTTTACCTGTGAAGTGGAAATACATAAAAACACATTCTCCATGCACTATACTGAGAATCGAACGAGACAGGGGAGGGAAGCGGGAAGCTAGTGCCTGACACATTGTAGGTGCTCAGTAAATGACGCTGACTAGCGCTAGCCAGGGTATCTGATGTGTAATTTATATAATACCAGCTAGTATTTTATTAATCCTACAGAAACCAAAGACTTATAATTCTAGAGTGGAAGGTCTCGTGACTCCAGGGGATTTTGAGAGACAGATATTTCTTGATCTCACTTCGACAAGAATTTCCTGGGCTCTCCTGGGTGCTCAGGCCTGTGATAAGTGCTGGGAATTTAGGAGGAGCTTCCAGAGTTTGCCATGCTTCTCCCCCTCCCCCACCCCAAGCAGACAGTCACGATCACCAAGCGGGGGGGTGGGTCCCCCAATTGCGTAGGAGCTCTGAAGAGCTGACTTAAACAGACATTCCATGCTGGGCACTGGGCACATAGAGAAAAGTCGCGCCAACCCTGCGCCCTGGCGAACTAGAGCCCAGTGCTGGGCATCAGTGAGTCTTGAATGAGCTTTTTCTCCAGGAACCAGTGTCCACCCCCGCCCCAAGGCTGCCAGCCCATCTGTGTCCTTGAGAACATGCTGGGCTCCTGACCCAGGCAGCAGCTGGTCCACTACCCGCTGCCCCCGACCCGGCACCTGTCCAACTGCGAGGCAGGGAGGACAGAGAGAATCTGAGAGCTGGGAAGGAATGTGGCCCTCATCCAGGGCAGGGAATGTGCAACTCACTGAACCCGGAACCAGAGCAAGGCTTGATTTTCCGTGAGCTTGGCCCTCTGCTAGCTGTGCGGGCTGCTGCCACTTTTCACTCTGAACCTCAGTTTCCTGATCTGTACAAGAGCGATAACAAATGTCTACCTCAAGGGTTTATTGTAAGGATTGTGTAGGAGATACACGATTAGGATGCTTTTGATTGAAAATGACAGACATTCACTGAACACCAGCTTAAGGGGAAAAGAATAGGGGGGCATTTATTGGTTCGAGGTGTGACTGAGAATTTGTGAGTGGATCTAACTTCAGAAACCAGGGGCTCAAACATCATCAGAAATCTGCCCCCCTTCCCTCTCCCTCTCCCGCTGTCCCACTCTCTTCCGCTGTCCTCCAGAATTGCTTTATTTTCAGGTAAACCTTCCTTTGAAGCAGCCTTCGGCTTATATTCTACCTCAGCAGAAAAAGAGGGCTTCTTTACCAATGGTCTACCGATAAGACTGCCTGGAAGTGGGCTTTGCTTGGCCCCCTTTAGGTTACACGTCCGCTCCTCAGCCAATCACTGTGGTCAGGGAGATACCCTATTCCACTGGCCAAGTTGGACCACGTGTCCATGTTTAGAATCCTGGATTCCAGTTTGGCTCACCCCCACCCAGATAACAAGGACTGATTGTGGAGAAAGAAGTATCCAAAGGAAAATCCAGATGCTGTTACAGATAAAAAGGGGAATGGATACTGGGCATGTCAAAACAACATCCTAAGCATTATCAACACCGCTGTGATCACCGTCATCCTCACAGGCGAGGAATAAATCTCACCTGTGTGTTCCTGTGAGCCACTGCTCCCCGTGGGGACCCCTTCCACAGCCATTCTGTGCCTATAGGCGAGGACTCTTGGCACTCAGTTGGGGTCTCTGAGAGCCCGAGGCTCCCCTGCTTGCCTGCTCCCCGAAATTGTCCAGCCCCTGCCTTCATCCTCTCTCTGCGTCCTGAGATGGACCTGCCCCGGTCATGGTCTCTGCTCTCACCCAGCATCAGACCCCCAGCCTTTACACTCTTCATCCTTCATAGCTAAGGCCTCCTGACCACCGCTCTTTGGACCCAGCTCTGCTCCAATTCTGGACAAAATCAGGAAGTCTGAAAGAACTCCAGCCCTATTCTTTAAAACCCATCACGCAGAGTACCACACTTCTGCCCCTGACCTTAGGACCTGTTTTCATCTCTGGAATTTATCCTTGGCCCAATATCCTGAGTTCCTATCCGGCTATCTGCATTGGATGAGTATATCAACAAACTTTTGGTTGCAAATAACAGAGAACCTCACTCAAATTGACTTTTAAAAACAAAAGAAATGTATTGGCTGATGGGCACAGAAAAAAAATCCAGAAGTAGTTCAGGCTTCAGGCAAAGCTAGATTTAGCAACTCAATGACATCTCCAAGGATCTGGTTTCTTCCCCCTGTTAACTCTGTCTTCTCAGTGTTGACCTCATCCCAAGGCTGTTTCCCTAGTGTTCCCAAGATAGATCCAAGTAGCTCCCAGGCTATACGTTTCCACTTTTATAGCCAGCAGGAAAGAATAGCTCTTTGTCCCAGAATTCCTAGCATAATTCTAACAGATTAATTCTGATTGAACCAGCTTAAGTTTTGGAGTGGTCTATTATGTTGCAAAAGTAACTGGCACACCATGCAAATGGATGCAAAGGCACTTCAAAAGAGAATAATTTTGATATCAAAGTATTAAGAGACACTCCTGGGGAAATTTTTTTAATCCATGAATATTTTTTCAAAAGAAGCCTCTTGATAAATGTATTGCAAAAGTCAAATGAAAAATAACAAATGTTGTAATGAGCTGTCCAATTTTACTGGGAAAAAAAATACACTCTTAAGAAATTAAATACTTCATTTAGGGGCGCCTGGGTGGCTCAGTCGTTAAGCGCCTGCCTTCGGCTCAGGTCATGATCCCAGCATTCTGGGATTGAGCCCC